GATAAGTAAACTTGTGAACAAAAATTGCTTCAGACTCTATCAGATACTGTTTTGATCACATCAGAACAATTTGATAAAGTTGTATTGAAGTTCCTCCCTTTCCAAGCTGCTCTCTTGACTGATTTATCTGGATTAGTCTTGTTGTGATGTCTAATCTTTCTGCTGGCATCACACTCCCACACTCTTTTGTTGCTGTGTGCTGAGGACTGTCAGAGTGGTCACTTTGGCTTTGCATTACCTTTGCCTGTGTACTTACTTTGGCATCATCACCCTTTTTAATGCAGGCCATGAAGCTGAATTTGGCATAGCATTGCTTGAATTAATTATGAAGGTGCAGTATAGTTTCTGCAGTTCTTTTGGAGATGAAGATTTGTGCAAATAGTGGCTAGAAATATGCTTTTCATTTTGATATTCAGATTAGCTTGATTCAGATGAATAATAGAGGATTGTGATAACACAAGATGGCATGATCTGGTGAAAATGTAAACAGAACAAATATTACAAATAGAGTAAGGTTCAGTCGATATTTGTATAGAATGTAAGCAAATTTCTTGTTTCTGTCTTCTTCCATTGTGACAGCTGTTTGAAATCTAAACATATGGAATTATTTAACTGTTAGTCACTCTAAGTGCCTCCCAGACAGAAAGGAGGAAGCTTGTTATTTATTTATTTTTTTTTTTTCTGGGAGGCATTCTCAATATAATGGAATAGCAAACTTGTTCTACTTGAATCTTTTTCTTCTTTCATTCCAAGGCAACCCTGTAGACCTTCACCTTGGACATCACATGAGGGAATATCTAACCATTCTATGTTAAACTGAATGTCGAGGATTATTATGGGAAGATGGTTGTGTGAATCTGCCCCCTTAGTTCACCACCTTCTCTCATTCCTTCCCTTGGTAACTTCTGTCACCTGACAGGAGACAATGAACAAAGTGAGAAATAGCAGCTAACAAATTGCTAGTGATGAAGTTAGTATTCAAGCCACTTGGTAGTGGCTTGAATGTAGGTAGGAATCCAAGATTATTTTTACCTTTAGTGATCCAGAACGTCTTTGCTTCCTGCTTGAGAAGGGAAAGAGGCACAACTGTCCTTTTCCATTTATCTCTGTAGGACAAGGCTGAAATAATGTGGATATGGACACAGACCAGAAAACATGAATTTCTGCATCTCAATCAGAGAAACATTTCCACAGCAATGGAAATTGTCTATAGAGAAAAGTTTCTGTAATTGTAGGAAATTTGCTACTAGTTCATACGGTAGGATTGAAAAGAGATTAGTGGAAGATGAGTCATGATGTATGCTATGAAATTAGAGAAAGAGGGAATGCAGAAAAGAAATAAGAAAGTAAGAAAGACACATAGATGGTCAAGAATAGAAAAGTGTATTTTGAAGACCAAAATCATGATTAATGGACAAAAACATGCATGTCCTACCTCACTTGGGACAGGAGATAAAGATGAGTTGCTGAAAACATATGCCAAGCTTCAAAGTCTGTATTGGTGTCACTTTTATGATTGAGTACAGTAACTTTAAAAGGCAGTGGTATAGCTGTTAAAGCTTTTACTGTTGCTTTCAAAGAAAACTTAATATTTGATTATGTCTGTTTTGTATTTTATATTACCAAAATTTCTCAGTGCAGATGTACTTCAATAAAAAGCGTGTTTGTGTAGCAGATTTTTTAGCACTTTGATTTTGTGCTCTTCAAAACTTTAGTAATATTTCTATTGCAGTCCTTTCTGCAGTATTCAAATCCTGGTCTTGTTTGTGCAAAATGATAGCTCTTGGGAAGTTGCTTAACGCTCTTTTCGGATGAGTGATTTTACTAGTTAAGCAGGCAAATGTTGTGTGTGAAGTAGGCATATCTCAACCAGGTGGTTATTAGGTGATTTTTAATGGTGCTATTTACAAATAACAAGAAAAAAGACATTTTGGAATACAACAAAAGCACAAACAGAGCATATTAACAGCTATGATTCCTGATGCGCTATTGCATACAGCAAGCACTGGTTATATCTTGATTTGCTCTATGCATCAGTGTTTCTCTTTTGAGGCTGAGGAACCTTGGATAGTTTTGCTTGAAGTAAAGTATACAAAGTAGGCTCCGTCGTAGAGTCAGTGGCCATCTCTTTCTTGATGTGCATTATCCGTGTGGAGGTGCTGCATTACTTGTAGTGTGGGTCAGAAGTTTTTCTGTGCCAGTAAAAACAGAAGTGAAGGGAATGGCCCTGGGGAATCAGGTGGAACAACCATCCGCTGTTTCCTTCTTCTGTTTCAGTTATAGATTCACTAGTGACAGAGGTTTAAATGTTTTATGCTTCCATGTATATGTATATATACGTGGAGGCTTTTTGGTCAGAGGTTTTAGGTAACAGACAGGATGAAGGCATTTGAGTCCTTGCCTCTACCACTTCTTTCATTCTGAAATGCAGTGTTCCCTAGTGGCACTTAGTACATAGAACAGTTGGGCCCAAATATCTCTGGTGATGTTCTTTCGGTGGGCAAAACATGGCATGCTCTGCCGTGCCTCTGCAGCACAGGGAGATGGCTTAGGGAAGGAAAGAAGGAAAAAGGGATTATAGGCACATTAACAAGTGGATCTTCAAGATATACGGGTTGCTCCAAAAGTAATACCTCCTTTTTTTTCCATGGAAACTACAACAGATACGAAGAGCACCATAACACAATTTGATAGAGAAAATTGTCAGCCACAAAGCGATATTGTTCAACATAGTCCACCATCAGGTATGCATTTTCAATGGTGACAAACAAGAGCCTGCATGCTGCTCATAAAAATCTGCACCTGTTGAGGTGACCCACTGTTTCACTGCTGCTATGCTGCCATAGTTGCTAAGAAGATGCTGCCCATGCAGTGCATCTTTCATCAGCCCAAACAGATGAAATCCTGAAAGAACTAAATGCTGGATGTGCTAATACTGTCCAGACAAGATTGGGAATATGCTTCATGGTCTTTAAGCTGATACAAGGTTTGGTGTTATTGCAGTGCAAGATAAAGGTTATTCCCTGAGCTGACTATGGAAGAGACATCAGAGCTGATGAAGTGTCTGGGTTACAGGAAAAACAGAAGGATCCCCCCTTTCCTATCACAAAAGAAAGTGCACATCACTTTACCTGCTCAGCTCTTAAACTTTTTCTTCGATGGGGAATTCACATTGCAACTCTGTGGACTGCCATTCTTACTATGGCTTATATTGGTGACAGCATTTCTCGTCACCAGTAATGATGCAGTCCAGGCAATTGTCGCCTTCAGCCTCACATTGGTTCAGAAGATGGTGAGAAATTTGCATACAGTGTTCCTTCTGTTTCTTTGTGAGCATACCTGGGATCTACCGGGTGCAAACTTTGTGATATTCCAACATTACCACATTTCCAGTGCACTGGAGCCGATATTCAGCTGAGTACGGAGTCCCCTTGTGGTAATCCTCCAATTTGTGCAGATATGCTGACTGAGACATTTTGTGGTGTGACAGGTGTGTCTGGCCATCCAGAACGTGGCTCGTTTTTCATGTCACTGTTGCCACTGGTGAAACACACCACCTACCCCTCATGCTGCTCACATCCACTGTTTGATCTCCATAAACATTCGGCGAGCGTTGATGAGTGTCATTGGGTGCCATTTTTTCTGAATGGAGAAGCTCAGTTAACATATCTTTGCTCCATCTGCACTTCCCATTCTGTCAGCCTGCTCCTCTGCTGCCATCTGTTGCATAGCAACAAAATGTTACGGGATACTGATGAGAAGGTACAATCTCTACTGCCATACCACCAACATCCACCTCTGACATGGAATAAATGAAGTAATAAAATAGGAGGCATTACTTTCAGAGCAGCTGTGATATATCTCCTTTCGCCTTCAGTGTAAAGGAGAGAGGCAAGAGAACAGTTTCCGCATGCCTATGAATGTGATTTTATTTAATGATGACCAAAATGAAAAGGCAGCATATTTAGCAAACTAAAAAGAAATAAAATGTAAAATATTCCTTTAAAAGAACATAATTCCCTGTATTCTATTTTTTGTTTGATGAAAATACTAATAAAAGATGTAGAAAATGCAGTTTTTCAGGGAACTGTGAGGATTAAACTTGGCTTGTTTTTTTTTTTTTTTTGTGTGCAGGGTTTTTGTTTTTTAATTTGTTTGCTTTTAAAATTTAATTTCAGGGAATAGCCTCTTGTGTATAGAAATGAAAGTTCATTTTTGAGCTCTTTAGATAAATCTTGTCTGACTTCCTTGACAGAGTGAAAGAAAATGTATTCGATTTGTGGCTTTTATCCAAAACTGCTCGAGTTTCTCTTCTGCGTGTCGTTAAGTGCTGAAATTTAATCATGCTCAGTCCATAACAATATACCTGCAATTTAATTTATTTCAATAGTCTGTACTATGATGGCTGATATTTTTATCCTCAGTAAAAAAAGCTTTCCTCACCACATGACCATCTACAGAACTTTACATCTTTTTTTAGTAACCAAGTTGTTGCTCATGACACAGCATAGTTAGATCACCTTGTTGTAAACATGTTTTTATGCCAAGGGCTTATATGAACTGTGGATGATTTTCACAGAATCACAGAATTGTAGGGGTTGGAAGGGACCTCCAGAGATCATCGAGTCCAACCCCCCTGCCAAAGCAGGTTCCCTACAGTAGGTCGCACAGGTAGGCATCCAGGCAGGTCTTGAACATCTCCAGAGAAGGAGACTCCACCACCTCCCTGGGCCTGGAGGCTCATATTTTGATATTTTGATATGAGCCTGAATTTTTTAATGTGTCTGGAAATTCCATTCCCAATAAGCTGGCTCATTTTACGATGCATATCAGTGGAGTGAAAGAATGAGTGGGGGGTACCACTAAAATTTGGATTGTGAACACAATAAAGAAAGGTTTTCCCACGGGGTGGTGGTGTAAAATTTTTTGCAAAATTATTTTATGTACAGAAATTCTCGAGAAGTCAAAATGAATGGTTTCATGAGGTGTTTTTTTTTCAGGAACTACAGTTTGAGAGACTGACTCGAGAGCTTGAGGCTGAACGTCAGATCGTAGCGAGCCAACTGGAGCGATGTAAACTTGGATCAGAAACTGGAAGCATGAGCAGCATCAGGTAATGCGTGAACTGCTCATTTCTTTGTTGGGTGTTGAAAAGAAGTGGTATTGATCGTGGTGTGGAACAGTTATACAGCAAGGATGATGAGCTTTTAGTAGAGTTTGAAACTTCATTTTTTGTTTGTTTTATTTTAAAGAAAAGTTCAAGAGCAGAAGGAGTTTGGTGTAATTGTTGTCTGCTTTGTCCAGTAACAAAGCGGTAGTGGCGTTTGGAATTTGTTGACTGGCAGCTTGCTGTTTTATCTTATTTTATCAAAACTTCGTCAAGGTATTACAAGCTTTAAGGATTCTTTCAGCTGTCCGTAAAGCTGCTGACCTGATGTTAAAATGTAGTGATAAAGTACGAATCTTCATCTTTGTTAAACATTGGCGCCCTTAAAGTCAATTATTCTGTACGCTGTTTAGATGATGAAAGTATTATTTGAGAAACTGTAACAAAAGGAGGCTGATCCCTTGGTCAGTTTGATGTGACTAAAGATTTTGTAGTCTTGAGCTACTTCCTAGCCATTCTTTTTTCTCAGGTGAACTTAATAAATAAAAGATGACAGTGTTTGGGTTTCAAGGACCAGGAGAAATGCTGTGTGGACATGTCTTCTATTTGTGGCAGTGCAAATACTAAGTGCCATGTGTTTGAATATGTGAGATGAAGAATGATAGACCAAGCTTAGTATGAAGTTTTATGTGATATAAGTAGAAAAGCCTGTAAAAACCCTGTCACTCTTGGAATAAACTCTTCTTCAGTTGAAGTAACTCAGACTGTACTTCAATTAAAGAAATGATTGTTTTCCATGGTAGGTAGAAAACAGTCATTCTGCAGAATGCTGCAGATGCAACAGAAATTCAAAATGTATCATTAAAGTAGCAAAACTCAGATGAATCTTTCAGTAATTCAACCACCATGCATGAAGTTCACTTAAATATAAAACAAGTCTTAACATTAAATCATGAATTAACATCCTAAAAGAAAACCCTGTTCAATTTTGTGTATTCTTTTCTACTGGCTACACTTCTATAACAATTAGGAACAACTGCATTACTTTGAGTTATTTAAACACAGTGTAGTACTATGTTTGCACTTGAGGTTCATTCTCACTGTACTTTCAATTTTGTGTATGGCATGCTTGTATTTCAAAAAAGCTACCTGAATCATGTCTGAATAATGCTGTTACCTTATGATCCCTATGATTATTTCACATAGTACTATGGAGACTGTGAAGAAAATGTGTTCTTTTCCTTTTTGGTTACTGTAACCACCTGTGAAGCTCTGCTTCTTAGACATACTTGCTTTGAAACAAGGTTGTTAACTTTGTTGCAAATATCTACTATTTTTAAGTCAACTCTTTTATTGATACAGTATATTTTGAAGGATTTCACAGCTCTGTTGTTCAGCCACTCAAAGTAAACCCAAGAAGTCTGAGACAGATTACCTGCCCCAAAATAACCATAAAGAAGTGTCATTCATTCAAATGTTGCATCATTTTATGTTGAATTTTTGCTATTGAGGTCAAGTCACAATATTAAAAGTTTCTGAATCATTCATTAGAAGGCTACTACTGGATTTCCAGTTAACCCTGTGGTTTCTGCAATCGTAATGGTAATCTGTGCAGTTAACAGGTTGTTTTGTGTTTATTTTTTTTACAATAACACAATCAGAAATAATTCTTAAAAACTGTTTTTGTTTAATGCTAAGATAAATTGATCCAAGTTCTTGGGATTGGTAGAAATGAAAATAAAAATAATTCCTTTGAGATTAGAGATTTAGATCTAGCGGGGATTAATTCTGTTCTGTGACTTTTTGTAATAAATATGTAAGCTCACATTAAGATTTAAAGTTTATTTGCTTTCCTGTTTCAGTCAGTGCATTTCAGGCTAAGAAATCCAAGTGATGAGAACAGTTTCCAAAATGTAGATTAAGTTCTAAACAAAGAGATTAAGAGTTTCTAGAATGTGAAATTGTACAGGGGAAACCAGAGATATCAAAGGCTAAAGCAATTATATTTTCTTCTCATTAATGTGATAAGTGTTTAAAAATTAGAAATGCTCATAAAAAGAAATTCTTACCAGAATTACCCATCTCTGTGTCTGGACATGGTAGCACACACCCATTGAGATCAGTTGCAGTATAGGGAAAAAAAGGAAGAGAACTGAGTGATCAGAAGAATAAATTTGTGACTAACAAATTAAGAAAAGAACTTGGATTCCTTTAATCTTTCTTGAGCCCAGTACTTGGGAAGTCTGTTTCCCTCTGAAGGAACACTATAGATTTTAGTATCTGTTTTTTTACGTAGAGATTTTAAGATATGTAAGTGGATTGTATTCATGATTTCCACCGCACCCAGTGCTGTATAGCATTTATTGTAATGTGTGTTGCTATCAATCTGTTAAGCTTTTGTTTTCCCAAACACAGAGTTGTTTGACTGGTGTGGAAGTGTCTTATTAGAAAGGGTGAGAAAGTCCCCTTCTTCCTTCCTGAGATTTTATCGTAGGAGGTCCTGCTTTTGAAGCTTCATTCTCCCTGCTTGCACCCTTATGCTGCTAAACTTCTAAGGAAAGAAGGCAGTGGTTTTCTTGTAGCTGGGGGCTGAGTGATATGTTTTATAAACTCCCAGAAAATTTAAAAAAAATTTAAAAAAAAAAAAAAAAAAAAAGAAAAAAAAAAAAAGGCATGCTTAAAGAATATAAATAACATCTGCTTGGGGTGTTAGTTTTTTTAACTCTTTTCTTCTTCTGGCATATACAGAATGGTTCAGTAATCATTTGTGTTACAACTCTTTTCACCTGTGTGGAAAGCCTATATAACCTTTGCTAGTTAGTATCAGTGGAGGACTAAAGCTATTATAAAACTGCATGAACAGCCATAAAATACTATTTTATGATCTTATGATCATAAAATCATAGAATTGCTCAGGTTGGAAAAGACCTTAAAGATCATCAAGTCCAGCCACAACCTAACCATCCTACCCTAACTCTAACAACCCTCCAGTAAATCAAGTCCCTGAGCACCACATCCAAACAGTTTTTAAACACATCCAGGGATGGTGACTCAACCACCTCCCTGGGGAGCCTATTCCAGTGCTTAACAGCCCTTTCTGTAAAGAAGTTTTTCCCGATATCCAACCTAAACTTACCCTGGCACAATTTAAGGCCATTTTCCCTCGTCCTGTCACCAGTGAGAAGAGACCAGCCCCACTCTCGCTGCAATCACCTTTCAGGTATTTGAGGAGAGCAATAAGGTCTCCCCTCAGCCTCCTTTTCCCCAGACTGAACAGCCCCAGTTCCTTCAGTTGCTCCTCATAGAGCATATTCTCCAAGCCCTTCACAAGCCTTGTTGCCCTTCTTTGGACAAGATCTAAAAGGAACTTTTCACGTTAACATTTGTTCCATGTGTTTGTTACTACCCAAGGAATTAATGAGCAGCTTTCCATATTTGCTAGCTAACCCTGCTTACAGTGGTGGTTACTGCCATGTCTTGATGAAACGCCTTGAAACAACTGCACATGTGCATAATGAAGGAGTGCAGTGTACTTCATAGGGGAGATATCAGGAAAACTGTTCTCAGTAAAATATTAATGTTATGAAGATTTAATGCTTGTTTTAAGATTGTGTCTTTGAAACCACATTTTAAGAACGTGCTGAAAGACTGTTAGTTCTATCTACTTTTGTTTTGTTTTTGTCTTTGCACATTTCTGGCACACCTTGCACTTGGCGTATACATAAGGAGCTGTGTGTCCAACTGCACTGTGAAGCTTCAGGTGGCTTGACTTTCAGTCATTAAGAACTTAATATATAGCCTTTTCTTGTCACGAGAATCAGGATCCAGAGATTAATTATCAGCTAATTTGTAAACCTCAGTGCAACTGCTAACAAATATGCAGCCTAGATCCACTTTCAAATTGATCATGTCTGATTGGAGGTGAATCTAGTTAGCCAGGGTGGAATGTAATATAGTCAGTAGTTTCTAGGATATGAAGTGATTTAGTGAATTAAATCTTAATGCTACACTTTTTCTGAAGATGGTCTCAGCAAATACTAGGTTCTTGAAGTGCTAAATTTCATGGTATGAGCAGTATCTCTTTATAGGGAGCTTGCCAGAAATACAGACAAGTGTAACATAAATATGAGTAATAAAAAAAGTTACTAACCAAAATATTCCTGTTTGAGATATGCTTTCTCAACTACCAAGGTGAAAACATTCCTGCTTTTTTCCTTTGGCTATCTTTATTCTTACTGATGTCTTCAAAACTTGGCACAATGAAGTTGAAGCAATGGCAGTAAAAGAAAAAAAGTGGTTGTATGGAGCATGTTACCAAAGATGTAAGGAGCAGGTGTTTATAAAAACCTTTGGAAAATGAGATCTAGTAATATTTAAGTTTCTTATGACAAAACTGTCCAAGAAAAGCAAAATATAAATACCACAATAGCAGAGGTCTTTGTCTGCTTCTGTCTCTGAAGCTCTATTTACCAAACAGTGTTTCAGGCTGTCCTGTTAGGCTCCAGCAATCTGTTTACGTGTCACAGAAATCCTTGGTGACTTTGTAGGTATTGGGTTGCTAGCTGGCAGATGATGGATGCGTATCTTCTAGGTAAAGTCTGGAACCCAGCACTTCTGCAAGTCAGGCTACTGATTTACATTTCTGCTGAGGCCCAGTATTTAGGGAACCAGCTTAAAAAATAATTATTAAAAAAAAAAAAATACTGAGAGAAAAGTTGGTATAACGTAGTCTGAAGTTGTACAGATTCTTGGTGCTTCCATTAATCTAAAATCTGTAGGGACTCTGTGCTGGTTCTCCCTAATAAGGCATGTTGAGAAAACAGATTAGTCCTATTGGTACCCGACAGGGAACTAACTGGTTTCACAGTTTCATAGCAAACAAGCTTCTGTTGCTGAAAGGCAAATATCCAGCAAATGTCCAAGCAATCAAGTCTGGTGAGATTTTCTTTCTTACAATTCCTCCCTATCTTTTACAATGTAATCGTTTCTTTTCCTGCTGGAGATAT